TGGTTTTGTTTGTTCATGTATGTTTTGTGTTTGTTGTAAAAATAAAAAAATATTTAAAAAATTAATCTAATTTTTAATTAGATTTTAAAAATTAAGTCTTTTTATGATTACTTCCCAGTGAGTGAGATGGCGTTAATACTTAAGTGCCTTTTGGAAATACATTCGTTTAAATATTTACAGATTGAAAAGGCATTGTTGGGGAAGCAGCAGCCAGTAATCTATGTCAAAAGAGAGAAATTATTTTCAAATGCCTCCACACATTCCAAGTCATCTTTCAAACAACTCTATAAAGCAATGAGAAATAATGCTGAAATCTGTTTGCTTGATATAACCTAATGCTTTCCAGGTACATTTGGATTACAGTTGTTAGAATTTCCATCCAGCATGTTGGGCTGGGATGATAGGAGTCATAAGACTAACTGAAGTTCTGACCCCTTTTTTGCTGAATATTCATGTCCACACACTCTCTCATATACTTCATTCATTTTCAAGTAGTCAGCAAACATACTATTTGGGATTTCTAGACTGTTGACACTCCAACACATCTAGAAAGTATTAAGCTGAGTATGGCTGCCTTAATACAACAGGTTAAGTAGTAGAACACTGAAAAAATAAACCAACATAATATTGGGTTTTAAGTGGAGGCATTACAAGTAATAAGAATCATCATTTCCCCCACATAACCACTGAATTAATCCTTTATTAAATGTACATCTTAATGAAAAAGTCAATGGCTTGGATCCTAAACAGGATTCCACAAATGGAACATAGGGCCAAATCCAGTGGAAGATTCTGCTGGCAATAGGAATAAAACTAATTTTCAATGATTCTCCTTTCCAACGATGACCCTTCCCTATAGTTTCAGAAGATTCTTCAACAAAGATCTTTGGCTGGCACAAAGGGCTGTAGGAAAGGACAATCAGGCCATATAAATTGTATGTATGTACGTATGTATGTACGTACGTATAAATAAATAAATATCTCCTGGTGACCATGACTCATAAGTGTAAGTCAACTCAGGAAATGCTTTCACCAGTAACAGCCAACAACAAATCTCATCCAACGTCTTCTATACAATGCCTGTAATCATCCAAAAGACTACCCACATTAACTTACTTCTTAAGATTGAAACAAGGGAAAAAGTTTGGAATAAACGTTTATTAAATCAGACTTACCTGTTTATCTTTATCAACTCCAGACATAAAAATCTGCTTGTATTTGTCCTTAAAGGCAAAGTTTAGGGCTTGAGTTGGGAAATATCGGATAACATTGGCAAAATTGCCACGCCAGAAACTGAGAAATCCTACAGATAGAAGATTTTAAAATGTATAGGCTCCCTCATTTTAAATAGTTTTTATTGCATGACTGTAGTATCGAAACTTTTTCAATTTATTTCAAGTATTTCAACTACACTTTTACTGTACTGGTGTAAGAAAACTTATCAGTTGTTTCCAAAGTCAATAGTTAGCTTTAGAATTATAGATTATTCCAATATTAATTATTTGATAACTGTACAGTGAAAGTTTAGGTCTAGAGTGAGAACAGAAATGGCAACAAAATTTATTGATAATTTATTGAGATTTATTCTATGGTGTTGCTCAGAACCATTCCATGCCTATTCCTTTCAAGATATGTAAGTACAGTATTAAAATATAAACATCAATTACATAATAGCATTACAATACAGCTTAAGAGTTTTATACTTAAGATTCATTTCATTTTCAGCAAAACCTCTCATTACAAGATGGAATTGTTCTTAATGTATCTTCTCAAAAGGCCTGCTGAAAAAAAAATAACAGCCTGTGATGGCCTTTCTAAAATCCAGTCAGGGAGGGTTTTATAACATGCAAGGGAAATTGACAGTAGAAATGGAAAAAAAAAAAACTTGATCCATATGACCTAATGATAATGACACTACCAACATTAATTTCTGTACTATTTCCAAAATATGAAAGATTTCTGGAGTACTAGTTTCGACCACTGCAGTTCACTTTATACTTTATACTATATATCCATCAAGGGGTTCCGTGATAGCTATCAAGATTAGGAAGCCCCTAAACGCATTTAAATATGAGCACAAATTTGGCAAAGGCCTGGACACAATAAAGAATTAAATATTTATATTGAGGCCAGTTTTATGAGATGTCATTCATGTGGTTTGCATTAGTATAGCTGATTTTATTAAACTGAGAGCAGCAGAATGCCCATTTGCTCATGTGCCAGTCCATTTTGTGCCAGCCCATTTCCACAAGCATTCACAGTGGAAGATAAATATTGGCACCAGTGGATACTTTCCTCCTATTATGAACAGAAACTGAGAGTTACACCAGAGATAAAGAGCCAAATACAATAGAGATACATTTCTGATAAGGGGCAAAAAATCCCCTGCTCCTGCTTTTAGCTTTTTAAAAAATTAAAAATCTACTGTAATATACAGAGGCAGACCATATGAATGAACCATATGAAACCATATGAATCCTTTTGATTTGAAAGTGATAAAATATTGGTTCTGAGCTTTTCCACTTCATGCCTGACAAGACAAATGCATTAAACTATGAGAAGAATAGTTGTAAACTAGTGGGTATTAAAATCCATGTACCATTTTGGTACAGATAAGTATTTTGGATTTGAAGTTCATGGGCAAATCCTCCTTGTGGGCAGTTGATTCTGCAGATGTGTAAAAAGGAGGTGATTCATATTTGCTTTATTATAGCTGCATCTTACACTGCAAAATTACAAACCTTTTAAAAGCATTTGATAGAATTTAATATGCAACAGTGTTCATTAAATATGTTATTAATATTTATTGAAATTATATAATTACATATTACATGTTTGAATGCTTAATAATTCACTATCTCCTTCAGCTAAAAAAAAAACAGCAGCTCTCACCCAACTAAGTTTGACCGCTTTCAAAAAGTACTATATTCAACAAACAGAAGAGGATCAATCACCAGAACAACAATGTCTGTCATATAACATATTCCAAGTCCTGGTTGCCAGAATTTTTAAAACCTCTAAACTATATACTTCTGTACAGTACCCCAGGATTTATTACCCCATAATAAATGTTACTGGATTTGTTCTGCCACAAATTACTCCCAAACAGCAGCAGCTCAATCCTAGTCTGGTTGATTCTGTTGGCACACTAAATTAAGGCTACAGCCTAAAATATTCAGAATTTGAATTATTAGATCAAGATTCCAAGTAATTGGGGGGGGGGGAGAGTTTATTGACTTAGACATGGAAAGGAAGCATTATTATTAGTTTCAAATTCAGTATGTTCCAACCATGCTAATGGCATATTAGATGATATTATTTACTAGATCTTTAGATTTATTATTTTAAATCAGCACTGTAATATGAAACCATAAAGACAAGTCACATTAAGAATATGAATATATATGATCATAAATAGGTAGACATACATACAGATATACAGACAGACACACATACATGGACACACACATGGCAGAATGTCACAAAAAGAGCCTCAGGGCAAAAGATGTTACCATCGTGCAGAGTCAAACAACATGGATGGGATTTTACTTGAGAAAACCACGTATTCTGCTTGAGTTCCATAATGAAAAAAAGGCAAAAATATACTAAACAATATATGTACAAATGAATAAATTCACATTCCACTAATTCTGTCCATAATGCTGATTATTTGGAAAAATTAACCAGTGATCAGGATTAAACTATTTAATCTAGAAGGGAGAAAAACACAGTTGTTGGTTTGTTTGTTTTTTAATTCAGGGCTAGAATTGTTGAATAATAAAAAAGATTACAATCCCATGTACTTATTTAGCAGTAAATTTTACTGCACTCAGTGCGCCTTATTTACTAATAGTAATGGCATCAGGCTATATGGACATAGCAATGGGAATTTTATATGTATCTTAATTGTAGAATTAAATAGGTAACTATGTACAATTTCATCAATAGCTGCTGCATTTACACTACAGTACAGGCCAGCAATCTTTATGGCAAAGATTCAATTCAAAACTGGCAGGTAAACTTAGGATATATTTAGAATTGCTTTTGATAAGCATGATTGATGTTTAAAGAGTTCATATACATTCAAAATAATCCATAAACACTAGACTAGGATTATTATACTGCAGTTTGGAGAAATGAAATTAAGGCAAGTAAGTGTATGCAACCTAGTGTTCGCTGGATGTTTTAACTATAATTCTCACCATCTCTGATCACAGATTGGGTGTTGTATAAAAGACACCGTAATGCCAACCATCTAGGGCACCTACAGTATTGTAGTTAGGCAACTAAGTGCTGTCGACAAATTTGAGACTATAATGCCTGTAAATCCCAACTCACATAGCCAGTAGTCAAGGATTCTGCTAAGCTGTGGTTCAAAATATCTAAAGAAAAACTAAAAATCCCTAGCTTATTGTGTTCATGGCAGAGAAAGATTTAAAGAATAGGGATCTTGGCAACAAGAACTGTGAAAGGAGACCCAGTTTCTAGGGATAACATACCTTGCTCCCGAGGAATGCGTATAAAGCAATCTATCATGCCTTTGTATTGCTGGTCAGCACGGATCTGTTTGGATGAGGCCTGAACCTGGAGCAGGAGCTTCACACGTTCAATGGGTGCTACTGTTGTTTTGGAAACAGCAGCTGCCACCCCACCTATCATGAGGTCCTTCCCAAAAGAGACAGGATCAAACAGCTGCTGCCCCTCAGCAGCCTGCATGATGGCAGTTGGGTGGAAAGAAAGGTGTTAGTGGAACTAGGGCCTGCAAGCAGCATCACCTGGCACCAGGCAACAATTCTAACTGTCACTGCTCAGAAAGAGCTAATGGAGTTCCCCTCCCCCAGCTAGATGTGATACATTCATTCTCAAGCCACATGATGCAGGAGCGCCCAATCACAGCGACTGACTCCGTCTTTCCCTTTAAAGGAAAGTTCTGGGTTTTTGAAGGTGGAGGTAAGTTCAGTATAGAGAGCTAAGGCCTAAGAAGAAGGAAGAAACTCTGCAATAGAGGACTTGACTCAAGAAAGACTTTGCCCTTAGTTGGGGCAACCAACAGTTAAGAGGGGTTTAAACATTCATCCTCATTTCCCATTAAAAATATAAGTTTGGCTGAGAAAAAAGCACTTGGGGACTTATAACATTAATTTCAGGAAGAAAATATTTGAAGACCACTCCAGTTCCCTCTTACACCGATACTTGCATTCATTAGAGGGCCATTTGATGATAGTGTGTAATATCAAAATGTATTAATAGAGACATTTGTATATTGCCAATTCCAAAGGACTCAAGGCAATTTACAGCATAATAAAAGAAGAAAATTCTCTCTCTCCCCCTCCCTCCCTCCCTCTCTCCAAAACAAAATACAAATAACTAGAATAAAAGCTTACCAATAGGCCAGCTTTACTACAATTAGCACCCTGCAGACCTAAATCGTATTGCCTTTTTAATGCTCAGAAGATTAAGGAAAGATAAATAGCTAAAGCAAGTACCTGTAGGTAAATACAGCTAAAGATTTTAGTGAGTGACTGAATATAATCATTTGCATATCATCCAGTCACAAGAAACATATAAACAGAAATAATAATTTAAAAAACCTAATTCCAAAATAAGGCAAAAGGGAACAAAAGAGGCAGCTCAATATCACCACTAATGTTCAAACACCCATTTCAACAAGACTATTTTTACACATTTACAAAAAGCCAGTAGCATGGGGACTAACTGCACCTGAGAGGTTAAATGATTCCATGATGTTGGATTTGCTGCCAAAATCAGGCTCTGCACCCCTATTTTCTTCTTGTGGAACGGGGACCCTAAGCATCCATACCTGGGATGACTGCACAGGACGGACAGATTCTATTCAGAGTAAATGGTCCAAAGGTAACAAGGAGGTGAACCATGTAAGATTTCTAGATTAACATTGGCACTTTGAATTAGACCTGGGAACTATTGGCAACCAATGCAGCAACTGTAGGTTTATGTTGTACGAGTGTCTCTCACCTACCAGCATCCAGACCGTTGCATTCTAAATGAACAGCAGTTTCTGAGTTATCTTCAAAGGCAGCCCCAAGTAGTGTGCATTATAATTGTTTAATTGTATGGCAACAAAAACATGAGTCTCTGTTTTGAAGAATTTCCTGGATCATTAAAGGATGCAGCTGGTGCACCAACCCAAGCTGGCAATAGCTTCTACCTCCTGCTCAAGCAGGAGCCATGAGTTCAGGATAACTCATAAGTCATGGGCCTATTTCTTCAGAGATAATGTGATCCCATCTTTACCCAACATAGTGTGAAAGTCTGTGGGGAGACTAAGAAAAGGAGAGTAGAAATTAAAAAATCAAGATTGTACCCATTTCACTAGTTTGATCTTTATATTTATTATCTATTAGGGTAGTGTGATCAGCACAGTACAGGTTATTTCTAGAGTTTTAAAATGACACTCATTTTCTTCCAATCCAGCTTCCCTTAATAAATATTCAGTATATAGGCTGAATAAATAAGGAGAGTATAGCCTTGTCTCATTCCTTTGCTGATTGGGAGCCAGTCTGTTTTGCCATGTTCCGTCTGGACTGTGACTTCCTGCCATGTGAATTGCTTTCACATGAGGACAAAGAGATGTTCTGGGATTCTCATTTTCCCAAGGACATTCCATAGCTTGACATGGTTGACACATCATTTCTATAATCAATGAAGCATATATTACTTCGACTTTCTCAATTATCCAGCATGCAGTAACGTCTCCTGTTCCTTGACCTTTTCTCAAAGCAGCTTGAACATCTGGCAACTCCCTTTCCACGTATGGCTCTACCCTGTGTTGGATGTTTCTAAGCATTTTTTTGTCAGCATGTGAAATTAAGGATGTTGTATGATGGCTAAGTCTCCTTTCTTTGGCATTGGTATGCAGACTGACCTTTTTCAATCTGTTGGACACACTGTTTTTTTCCAGATTTGTTGGCATAATTAAATCAAAACCTTTACCAATTCTTCTTCTTTTGCTTGCCCTATTTCTGTAGATATTCCATCATTTGCTGTGAGTTTCTAACTTGGTAATGACTAGAGTGCTGGTCTAACTTAATCTAATAGTACTAGAGGTTGTAAATTGGGAGTACCTTCTCAGGTATCTTGGATGTTTACATTTCTACTGTACAGAATTTCAGTATATTCCTTCCATCTGTTTGATCTTCTTTGAATCATTTACTAAGCATTGAAGATATCTTACTGAAATTTATGTAGAACTTACTTCCTTGAGCTTGCCCAGCTGCACACATAGGTACCAGAATGTAGCCAGAATATTTAAGTACGAACAAGAGTTTCTTCTTGCAAAGATTTTATTTAAGGCTTTTTTTCCCTCATCCATTTCCTCACAGCTCCAGATACCAGGTAAGGACTCCTATGCATTACCACTTGGGCCTGGGGTGGCAATGTCTGTCTTTCAGCATTCTAATAACCTCATCCTGAACCATCAGATAACCTCTCCAACTGATTTCATATAGATGTTAAATAACATGTGGAAGAATGCTGAGACCAGAGGCATCCCACATTGATTAACTGTGGGCTTGAGCAACCATGGACTTTACCACTCCTCTGCTATAACTATCAACTAGAACTGCCACTCATGAAACAGTGAACCCCATCATCTAGAAGAATACTGTGGTTGGTGATACTAAATGCTACCCTGAAGTATGACCAGGAAACATTCCCTCTATCCAGGTCGCAATGAAGACCATCTGCCAGAGTGACTGATCACATTCTGGTCCCATACTCACATATGAATCCTGGTTGATCCTCTGTTTGATGCCACACCATCTCCAAAATCATCCTCACAAAAGAAAAACTGAAGACTGGGCAGAAGTTGTCATATGCTGGATCAAGAAGCAGCCTCTTCATGATCAGACAAACTTCTAGGCAGTATCAATACTTTTCCCAGACACATTAATCACTCCCAGATATATCCACTACCACCAACTATCCTAAGGAGCCACATATAGAACAGATGTAGCCTCCAGGTGGCAGAGCTTGTGCTACAGAGAACCCTATCCTCAGATTCTGCAAATGATTTTCTTCACAAAGAATCTTGTAAACATGCCACTGCTTAAAGAGATACATTTTTATGGAAGAGGGTGATTTGTGCAATTGTCACATATTAAAAATCAATTTCTGATTTTTATCTGGTGAGAATCTGAAAAGTAGAATATAAAAAAAGTGAGACATCATTTTAGAGAGCCACCTACAGGATTATACCTCTAGTATCTTTTCCAGGCAAGTGTGCACTTTCAAAAAACAACTGGGATGCATTCACACATTATTTTTTTAAAAATTTCCATTTCCATTCTATGTTTCTATCTCTAATGGGGTCAGTTTTGATTTTCTAATGAGGCCTGTAGGGTTTATGTGGAACCTAGAGATATTTCTTCCGGAAGGAAGGAAGGATGCTACAGCATGGTGCTTTATATCATATCAATTACCTACTTGCTTTTTAGATTAAAAAATTTAAATGAGGGAACAGAATCTAATGGGTGCCAAGGAGGATATGAAATTTACAACTGTAATGTAAAACAGAGAACGTAAATACCATTAAAATGTTAGTGATGTCCTTTCTCAGTCTGAAAATGGGCTCATTTACAGTAATTGTTAGTTTTACATCTAACCACTCACATTTGTTTTCTCTCTCTCAATCTGGCTGGAAAAATCTTCTGAGGACCAAGCTAGATAAGATGCTGTTCATAAAATTAGTAATAGGAATAAATTTACATTTTGTTTCTTGTAGTCTCATTTGACTTGTTATTGCTGTTGGCATTGCAAGAAAGTCCCTGATTTACATCAGAAGAAACTATTTTTCCAGTGGAAATGCTAAGCATGAAAACTGTCCTGAATTGGGACTGCAGTGAGGAAAAGCACAGAGTGCAAATTTAAAAGCCATTTACTGTTAAGAAGCCTATATTGGCTGGTCTGCATATCATACTGAACATGTTGTATGCCGCCTCTGGCTTAGCCACTATAGTGGGTAAACCATGATTTATGGCTTAGTGTACTGTGTGAACCCAGCCACATGATTGTTATTTGTGATGTTCATCTAGTTTGGGCCTTAGTTTCAAAAAGCTAGAGCTAAGTATAGCTCTCTAACATATGTTTATATGTTCAATAATTGATATGAATATGTAACATGACAGTTCTGAACATTTTACTATAACATTTTTAAAAACATGTCTGTACCCATCAGGAATATAATGAACGTATACAAAGACATATCATTTTAATTAAAAATAATTAAATTATATGCAAGATTATATGAAGACAAGAATATTTCTTTATTGTAAAAAAACAGCAATATAACATTTTCTGAAATGAAATGGACAATTCCTCCATTTGTCTCAAAGTACCAGAAAAAGTTCAATTTTACTTTATAACAAGTAATTTTTAAACACTAATGTAACTTCTTTTTGTATCACAAAATACTATATCCATTTAATGTAAGGTAATCTAAATCCCTTAAGGATTTGCATATAAATTTTCTGCAAGACTTAAGGGACCCATTTTGCTAGGGCTACCAGATGTGGACTGTATAATCTGGACAACCACTAAATAATAGCAAAAACTAAGATTTTTTCCTATATCTCTGATGAAATCAATGTGATCATCTGGATTTTTGAACCCCAGATTTGGTAGCCATATATTTTGCTCCTTAACCCCATACAAAACAGAAATAACAAAGTTCCCTACCTCTGACATAATATGCCAAGTATTACAAAGTACTTTTAAATGAAGTCCAAAAGGGTGCACACAAAATAGAGTTCTTTGTCCTAACTTCACAATGAATGAAATTGTTTGCAGGTTCTAAAGAAGCATCTTCCAAGGACAATAGCTTTAAGAAAAAAAATGTGGGTGTATATCTTGATAATTGCTTCTATATGTAACATTTACATATAATATATAAAAATATAGGATATCATAACTCATCCAGTTTAAAAGTAGCTTAAAAAGTCAGTCTTCTGAAAGGAGTGACTTTCATAAATAGTGTTATAAATGTTTGAAATTTATTCTATTAAATAACTGATTTTAGAGAATATTTTAAATAGCACCCCAAACAAAACCATAACGTAATTAATATTTTTGTGTTCTATGTGTCATGGAAAGTGAGTAAATGCAGATGTGTTTATCTATACAGCTAAGCCAAATGATAATTTAAAAGCCAATTCAACAGCAACCTCTGTGACTGAGTCATGAAAACAGACATAAAACTCTCGAGGCTTTGGATCTAGGAAGAGTCTCCTGCAGAAAAACAGAACTCAGTGTCAGCACATTTTTAATATATTTCAAACTCAATATTTTTGCAAGGGTTTACTGAAGGATTAAAACAGATCTATCAAAATTAGATAAAATTCATATTTTAAAATTAAAATTCAACTGAATTTCTCAGTTGAAATTCTTGAAATGTTCGATGTGTATTCATGTAGTAAATTCAACCTTTGCTGCATTTTTAGTACAATACATTTTCTACTAAAAATTGTTGGATTAGGGAAGAGCCTAAAAGACCATGGCAATGGTTGTTTTTATTAAACAAAGATGTTCTGAGAATCTGGACACTGTGCAACAAGTATTTAGAGTAAATTAAGAAAAAAAGTATTACGTACCCTACTACCCAATACATTACAGTTGATTCAGGTTTCTTTTGATCAGTCCAGTTGTCAGGAGCACATTCAAACAATACACCATGTTCTTTCACTTGATATAGGTCAGAATTTGCTTTTTGGGATTTTGATCTTTTCCCAGACTTTTTAGTCTGCAGTAAAACAAGGGCACCAAAATTAATGATTAATGTCTAAATTGGCAGTATGGAGAAGTAATAGAAAACATGTCTTATTGTGTGTGATAATCCTGAAATATTTGGTGAAGAGGGAGTTTTTACATGTAGAAATTTGTCTTAAGAAATAGATGTCTAATCAGCTGTATCTAGAATGTTGTTTGTAACAAAAGAACTCCCCTCTGCCCTTTCCCCAAAAGATAAGGCCTTATACTTCTCTCAGCATAGTTTGTTGAAAAATGGAACGGATGGAAAGACAACAGCGATGGAAGTTCTTGATGAGTTGAGGATGGATAGTTCCACTGAGTTGTGCTACTTCAGCATGTGTTGGGGTAATAAAAATTCCATGCATTGTTTCTAAACAAATATAGTGGAAGAGGGTATTTTCAGGACCCGATGTCAACCTTCAAGAACAAAAGAAAACAGCTGACTATTAATATTATCAGTAATAAAAAATGATACAAAAAGAAAAATACTATCAGGACTTAGTTTGTTTCTATACAATATAATAGGAAACATATGATTATTCTGTATTTTAGTAACATGGTCCATAGCAAATCCATTAAAATATATAGAGAGAATTCTAATGAAGTTCAGTAGGTCATCTAATATACCATATCCGAAAATTAGTATACTGCATAAAAAAATTATATATCTTATTACAATGCATATGCTTGAAAGTACTTTCCAACTCTCCAAAAAGTACTTATCTTCAGGAAATAAGTCTATTACATTCTTTAATAACTAATACAGGTAAGAAATTAATAAACCAGCTTTAATAATCAGTGTAGCTTACTTCCATATACTAGTCAGGTTTAAGATACATATTTGCTATACTGTTGTGAAATATAGCAGGACTGAATAAATTTGAAAATAATTTAAGTTATATTAGCAGTTATATTATATTATATTTATATAATATAGGAATAGTAAACACTAGAATCTATTTCCACATACTAGGACAAATATTGATTACATTTTTTATTTTTACAGGTTTACCAAGCCCAAGCAGCTTTGCAATATGTGGTGGTAGTTCAAACCCAACACCGGTACAACAATGAATAAAGACTTCTCATTTTAATAAGGTAATAAAGAACTAAAAAAAAAGGTTAGCTTCACCAAGTTATTTGAGGCTGAAATCTGCATACCAAAACTAGCAAGGTCCTATAAATGGGGCAAACAAAGAGACAGAGAATGGGTGCATATGTAAATGAACAGAGTAGCCCTGAAAAGAACTACTGTACCTAACATGTCTACTTATACTTTTCTCCAACTTTACCTTACTGGTTCCAGTTCTGCTGAGATTCTGGGGCACTGGGCCTGCATTCCAGGACCGCCTCTTAATTTTGTTACATCTGTGAGGATCTCCAGCACCAACAATTGATGAGGTATAATAAATGGTTCACTCCTCCCCTCCAAATGCCAATCCCTACCACCCATATGAAGAGGACAGTGGCTTCAGAGTTATAAAGTATTTAGAGCTGCTACTAGCCATCAGGATCTATCCCTAAGGATCACCATCTAGCTCCAGACCCCTCATTCCATTACAGTGTAAGTTTATCTCTTGATTCAACCTTGAAAGACAGACTGATACCTATAGGAGGAAAAGTTAGTAAAACGTCGTTATGCAGCATACACGCCCAACATGTTCTGAGGACTTGTTTGTGGAAATGCACACAGTGTATTATCATGAAACACCTTAATATGAAAACAAAGATGGACTGCCACCTGCATAACATTTTTAACTTAACCAATTGTTCATACACACTTGTCAAATCAGCAGCAGTAAAACCTTAAAAAGACATACTATCAACAATATCTGATTGGAAACTTAAACTTAAAGAATATGCAGCAATGGCAAAACCAGGAAATATGGAAGCATTCTTGCTTACATTTAGTTAAGTTTCTGTTAAACTAATAATAATATAGTGGAGATTTTGGCATTAAGCTCAAACATTTTTACTTCTTTTTTATATCATGAAAAAACTTAAATGTATTCTGCTTGGGTTTTTTTTTTATTAATGTTATATTGAGCATTAATTGTGTAACTTCAGTAATTATTTGTCCATTCAAAGATAATACCTTTTTTGAAAATATACCTTTGTTTAAAAAAATAAAAAGGATTTCTAAAAATCAGCAACCAAATCTTATGTTTTAATCCATCTGCACACATTCTCTAACATAGTATTAATATTATCAGAAAACTGTTTCAATAAATACATATTAGAAATAAATAAATTCCTTACTTCATAGCATGATATAATTCAGCTTCCTTATCTGAGAGATTCTTTTTCAGGGTTCCAAAAGTAAATGGGTTTGTAAGAACATGCTTCTTTTTAGTGATCTGAAAAACAAACAGAAGAACCTTATAGTAAGAGAATAAGCAACCCTCAGAATTCACAGATGCCAAATGGTTGTGTTTTCAAAATATATTAAGGTGATAAAACAATCTGTGTGTTTTGTGAATGATGCTGAGTTGTTAAGTGTTAATGGACATGTTATGTTAGTTATGAAAAACTGCACATTTATTGAAATGTGTTTTTAGAAAACTAACATTTGAATAAAACTGTTATTTACTAAATGATTTGTACTTTGGAAATATAGAGAGTTCACCCAAAGTCTTAATCTGTATGATTAATAAAATATGCCGAGTGCATTCAACTTTTATAATTTATTTTAGTTGCTCAAGTCTGAAATACAAAATGCTCATTCTTGTAGGAGAAAGGACCACAACAGAATTGCCTTGAATGTGGGAAGAAATGGCAAAAAATAATGACCTCATCTTGCAATGTTGACAGTCAGTGCATTCCAGAAACAGAATTACATAGCTATATCAAAGTCTTTCTATTAGCACATTCTTACTACAGGTTAATTTTGACAAATCTTATTTGCTGTAGGTTGCACTTTCATGTGGGAAATAGTATAGAAGTTTAATGAAACAGAGAAATACTGAAAAGATACATCATGGGCATGAACAATTTTCTCTTTTCCTTCTACTTAGTATCCCTGCAACTTCTTTTCTGTTAAAACAGAATGTAAATTACATTACTTATGGGCATCATTAAATGCAGCAGTACCTTAAATAAACCATTATTTAAATAATAAATAAATCCACCAGGACTTTTCGATTGTGTAGGATATGGATTAAATTCCATTTCTTCTTTCAGAAGTGTCACTGACAGGATACTCACTATTCTTCAAGGGATTAAACCTATGTGTCCTTAAAGCAGAATCGCCAGAACTTACTTTTTTGTTTGCTGGAGAAGGTACGGTGCTTGACATATGATGTAGTTTGCTGAGAACAGATAAATTGGAAAAGCTCTCCAATCTGTCATGTAATGAAGGGAAGAACCAATCTACACAACACACTGATGGATCAGAGGCTGTTTCTAATCTCTCATCTATGCTGAGATCTATTCCATCCAACTGAAGGATAGTTGCTTTGACCTGGTCAACATATATGCAGTCTGGTCCAGGATTTCCAGTGGCTTTGGAAGAACAACCTCCTGCTTCCAGCAATACGCTCAGTATAAAATGCTTCTAAAAGAAACAGAAAAGAAGACTATTTCTGCCAGCTCATTTATTTTAATATGTATAGTGCATTCAGAAAGTATTCAAACCCCCTTCACTTTTTCAATTTTGTTATGTTGCAGCCTGATACTACAATTGTACAAATTCATTTTTTTCCTCATTAATCTACACTCAGTACCCCATAACGACAAAGTGAAAACAGAATTTTAAAAATGTCTGTAAATTTATTAAAAAGGAAAAACTGAAATATCACATTGGCATAAGTATTCACCCCTTTTACTCATTACTTAGTTGAAGCCCCTCCGGCAGCCATTACAGCCTCGAGTCTTTTTTGGTATGATGCGACAAGCTTTGGAAACCTGAATTGGGGGATTTTCTGCCATTCTTATTTGCAAATCCTCTCAAGCTCAATCAGGTTGGATGGGGACCGTTGGCGGACAGCCATTTTCAGGTCTCT